CGAGTTGAGAACTCAAGTGCAATATACTAATGTTCTAACAAATCCTACGTCTTTTTGATATCATTGCACCATATGTATAATTGTTCTAGAAGTTGCTTCGTAGGCGTGAAAACTATAGAGTTGGTCTACTTATCGCCATTTTTATGTTGTCGCAAAAGAACCTGTTTTCACTGGAGTAGTATTTCTAAGCCTGTTTTTGATGGTGCAACCACCATATTTTGAAGCACATTCACCATATATTCAAAACAGGAGGAGTAGGCGTTTCTTTTCTACTTTCGCGGCCCGAATGCGGCGAGACTAAACCATGTGCATTATTTATTATTTACTCTACGGTGGATGATGATGAATCCTCAGGCTGACACCAACATGTCGGCCTGCTGTTTACATCGTTCTGTGGCGCTTCACAGCTCTTTTGTTCCCTACATCAATTTATTGTATGCATTATTATCTTAAGGTCAACGAGTTAATTGGAACTATTGGCGCCAGCTACGCAAACAAAGTACCAGACCCGGAAATGGATAATGTTGGCGACAGTGACTTTTTTTTTGTGGTATCGTTAGATTTCTTGTTCGAATTGTCGTCATGATAGGGTTGGAGCGTTCGCCGCCATTTTGATAAACAGACTCAACAATCCTGATGAAAAGTCATAGTAGCAATGCTAGAGATGTGAGTAATGATGATTAGTAGCGAGTTAATCCATGTGAGCTAAATATTTCTCTAAATGAGGTCAGACCTATAAGGAATGGAATGCTTGTTAATTGTACCAACAAGGATGTATAAAAAATCAAAAATGTTCTCTCCCTAAAATCGGGAAAAGTCTACTTAATGTCCGAGGGATCTATGCGCAAGCCGCGCATTAAAATAGAGTGTTGTTATCTGTAATGCTACAAAAGACTCTTTCATTACGAACATGTTTAAGAAAAACGAGTTCTTTCTCTCAGAGCCTAAATGCCAGGACACCGCGGCTGCTATGGGGATCCCAAATAAATTTTGTTAATCCGATTTTTGAACTGCCTAAGGTTAGAAAAACTGGGAAAAGCCTCGTCGTATAGGTTGTTCCACAAACTCGGCACTCTTAGGACAAAGGAGCGGTCGTATTGGCCAGTTTTGGATGTACGATGTCCTTCATGAATTCCATTTAACATACGCTTGGTATAAAAATATAAATCATATTTTTTTTCGAGGTACGTACGACTGAAGCTAAAGACATCAAAGCTTGGCCATGCTAATGCAATGGCAACGCTTTCTGTTGGAAAAGTGAGCTAAAATTTACATATGCATGAATATTTTATGCATACATTCCAGGTTCGTCTTTGATTTATGATGAAAGTTTCAGGCGACATTCTGGATGGAATAATAACATTCTCTTTGATGTATGTGCTTTTGTCTTCGATTGTTTCGTTGATGAAAACTGCGGGAGTATCGTTCGGCTTGAATGAATAAACAACACAGCTCCCTCAGTATATCTAATATTATAAAGGTCTTTGCACACTTTACCATATCATACTATGTCACCGGTTACAGAAAATCGACCCCATGTTATTCGCCGGGAGCGAAGTGCATATTGGGGGTAATGGCTCAAGCGGTGAACAAAAACTCAAACATCATCAGATAGATAGTGAATATACAGTGTGTCTGCGGAAGGTTGGAAAATCTCAAAACTAGAGATACTACAGACCAGAATATGTGAATTGACCTAAACATACCTCAGTTCAAAAGTTGATAGTTTGCGAGATACAGGGTGTCAAAGTTACAATTTTATTTTATATTTCTATCAACTATCAACTTTTGTTATAAGGTATGTTTAGGTCAATTCACATATTTTGGTCTGTAGTACCTCCATTTTCGAGATTTCCCAACCTTTTGCAGACACCCTGTATAGACGTGGTCTCTATTATGAAATGCAGTCGTGTCGGGCTTATTTAAAGCAGGTTTCAATAGCTTATTCTATGTTCTACTTTGCGTAAAAATACACTGTATGCTATGGCTTCTAGCTCAAAAACAGATATAAAAAATTCCACAAGTGATCATAGACAATGCGTGCTCTTTAAATGTTTATTTCTACATAATCTCAGTACTATCGAAGGTCAGTTAATTAGAACATCTTTTGGGGCCTGGTGTCCTTAGCAGGTGGATTGTGCAATTTCAGTTCAAACGCTACAAAATAGGCAATGGCGATGCTGAGCATCGATATGGTGACTTAACTTCTCAGGAAATTTTGCTGGATCGGGTTCGTTTCGCATTTGCTACTGTGAAACTTTGGAGAGACATTTTACCGATAAGTCTCTCTCTCTCAGATGATATATGATAAAAGTACACACAATGTGAAAAAGCATTTTTTGCTACAAATTAAAATAAATACTGAAAAGGAGCTTTGTGGATTCGAACCTCCGTCCTGCGGTTCTGCAATCGTCAATCCTTACCATTACGCTGCGACGCCTTTTGGCTTACTGAATCTTTATACCACTATACTTCATACTGACAAATTTCAAGCGAACGTTGAAGGCATAACAAATCTGTAATAAACAATTAAAATACTCTTCAAAACTATACAAGATACGACGCTCAAACTTTAAATAAAAATTAGGGACTAATACCGAGCATTTTGCCTAATTTTTTAGTTCGCTACAATTGGTTGCTATATGTCTACTGTATTTTCATTTTCCAACATTTTGAACTCGCAACCGTTTTAATCGTACGAGATTTCGAGAACAGACGTATACTAGGTGTAGAGGTATATTAATACCTAATTAAAAAAATGGCACATTACATTTCTTCGTAAAGAAACTGGATTACGTGACCTACTCACTTGACAAAGTCATGCAGTCATCAATAATGCTGCCATTTAGCACATGCTACATAGTAACTAGTCAAGACTGTTGGAAACATAATTGTGTCTTCAGTTTGTGTGTTAACTTCAGCACATTTCAGTATTATTTTTATTATTTTTTTATAAACTTCAAGGCTCATCTGCGATCGTGTAAAACTTTCAGCTCTAAATACTTATATACAAGAGTATGAAAAAAAAATTACCTACAACTAAAAAATGTTTGAATCTGTTCAGAAGAAAAACACGTAACCCTTCGTTTTTCGCATAAAAACAACAAATATCTTTCGGAACGGCCCTGTGATTCATGACGGCAAGATAAACTCGTGTATTTTGCTATAAAATGCACTTTGAACGAATCCTGTATATTACCAGTAAACTAGTAGGGATGGCCGGAACACAGGTGTTTTGGGATAAACAATTAGGAATTCTTAAAAAACTACTTACCAATCAACCCCAAATTTGTTGTGGCTATTTAGAAGTAAAAAGCCTTTGACCGTTAGTGGGATCATTTTACGTGTGCTTTCATTCTGCAGGTCTCATAAATACATGAAAATCTTATTAGAAGAGTTTTTTCGTTCCTGCCTAGACTTTCGATTTAATCCCAAAAACCGCGTTTTCTCATTCTTTGTTGTCGAATAAAGCATCCCACAAACCGGCGCGAAATATTCGCTTTGGCTGCGAAAATTTCGCGGCGATGAATTCGCGATCAGATTAAAACGCGCCGGTTTACGGACAGACTCAGACTTGTGCGAAGCGAATGCGATTGTTCCAGCGTTTTTATCGCGGCGTATTTCAGTTCGCCTTTGACCGCGTTTTTGACGCCGTTCTTCAAAAATTCGCAATGGCAAGAACGGAATTATTGATAGAAATAGTGAAAAAGTATCTTTGTTTGTATGATTTGTCGAACGATGAATACAGGAATGTGAGAAAGAAAGACAAGATTTGGATGGAAATAGGAAAAGAATTAAATACAAATGGTATGTACCTAATATTTTTTATTAACTTGTTAAATAATTTACAGTCTACACAAATGTGAAAACGAACATTCTATATATTGGGCATAGGCATATCAGAATTAAAATAATTTACGAATTTGTCACGAGTAGAAAATGCTAGCCTTGCTGCCCGCCGAGGATCATTTGCTATATCAGTAAAAGCTCCAAGCACGGGTTCTGGGGGATCTAAGGATTGAAAATATTTGTCATCGCCACTTTTACTTCGTAAAAAATTGTGTAAACACGTACGTACGTACAATTAGAATAGTAGTATCCACTTTAGTTTCTAATGGCCTGTAAAATATTCGCCATTTTTGAGACAAAATACCAAACGCATTTTCCACGACCCTTCTAACTCGACAAAGTCTTACATTGTATTTCTCTTGTATGCCGTCTGTTAAAGTCTGCTTATAAGGAAATGGTCTCATAAGGTATGGTTTTAAAGCAAATGCTTCATCACCAATTAAGACGTACGAGCAGATTTCATTTTGCCCAGGGAGATATCTAGGTGCAGGGACACTCATTAACCCTTTCGTCCCTGAATTCAAATACCTTAGTCCAAATAATAAATAGTGTAAAATATTATTGTTAGGATGTCTTACAATGAGTTTTTATTAATATATATTTTTTTCATTGGTCAGTTAACGGTGGAGGGGATGGTTCATATATGTACCAGCAGGTATTTATGGTGGTACACATGCGTACCAACAGGTATGATCGGAAAATTCATAAAAACAGAAAAAACAATGGTATAAGAATATTTATTTAGAAAAAAATACAAAATCAGCTTTGCAAAGAAGAAAATGAACCTAAATAACTATTTGGTATGATACAACATAAAACAGAACTTGCACAATGGAATATTGCACTCCTCGCAAAGAGTTTTGTTCTTGTTTGTTTTTTCTCTTCAGAACATCTAGTGGATGTTCTTCTTGTTGATCCCTCCACAGGAAGATGTAATGCTGATGCACCATATAATTTTCTTTTTCTTGAAGGTGCGCCTTGTTTTGGTAATGGTAAGCTTGTATTTTGTAAACATTCAGATATTAATTCTTCTGCAAGTGTAGTGAGGAAAGAAATATTCTCACTTTTACGTCTCATTTCACGTTTTTCCACCACTTTGCTGATTTTCGGTCATGATCATATAGCCCAATGAATTGATCTGCCCGATCAACCCCTTGAATTTTTTTTCTGTAAAAAGATATGGCCTCTGGACATTGGATATTTTGTTGTTCACCGGTTTTGCTTTTTTTGATAATTGTTGTCACATTGGGCTTATGACAGTTACTCAACAGCAAAACTTCCGTTGTGTCCTGCCACTTTACATAAAGTAATCCCGAAGAAGTGCATCTGAATTGAGATTCCCCTTTTTGCAGCTTGTCTCCCATAGTTGATACGTTCTTGCGATTGGACATGTAAGTTCCCAAGGCTCTAGTGTAAGTAACAAATTCACACTTGTAAAAAAACATAACACTACATTATTTTCTTTGACTGTAGACGCAAGGGCTGTTACGACTCGCTCTCCCAGAGTTAGTGATTGTTTTTATGCGGGAATTGGGTCCTCTTTTCCAGAATATTCATTAACATCATACGTATAGCCCGTAGGTACACTGCGGAAGCCTGATACACCGGACCGGTACAGATTTATACCAAATAAAATGCTTCATTTCACAAGCAGGAATTTTAAATTTGCCTGGTACATATGGGTACCGTTCGGGACGAAAGGGTTAAATTTTGTTCAAATCTTTTTCCCATGTTTGAGGTTTCGAAAATACCCCCATCACTATTTTTTCCGAAACCACCAATATCAACACATATAAATTTATAGTCCGGGCCAACAATGGCCATAAGTACTATTGAATATTTATGTAAATAGCACCAGTAATTGGAGCCACTGTTGTTAGGTCTCTTGATTGTTACATGTTTACCGTCCACGCTGCCAATGCAATTGGGAAATCCCCATCTATTTTCAAATTCTTCAGCACATTTTTTCCATATATTCTCTGTTGGTTCTGGTAAATATATATGCTCCATATGTCTGCATATCGCTTCACAGACTTCGGTTACGATTGCACTCACTGTTGTAAAGCCAACTCGAAAGCTATGCCCAATGGTATAGAAGGTGTCACCAGTGGCAAGGAATCTATAAAAAAAATCGTTTTTAGGTGATGAAGTAAAAAAAAGGTGGAAGAATATCAGAGACACATTTGCAAAATATATAAAATCTACCAAACCAAAGACCGGCCAGGCAGTGGGCAACATAAAAAAATGGCAGTGGGCTGACTACATGGAATTTTTCCGTCATTTTTTGGCATTTGCCAAAACGTCGTCTAATGTGAAAGATATTGACGTCATACATTATGAGACTGCCGAATTTAACTCAAATATATATCAGGAAAGGGCTGGAAATGTAGGAATCGAAAATTTGGAAGACCGCGGCCATGGAGAAGATGAAAATGCTGATGTAGATGCAGAAGATGCACAGAACGCTTCGACAACACAGACTGCACCACCTTCTTCATTGAACACTACAGCAGTGACTACTCCAGGGCACACCTTTCCGCAGACTGCAACTACACCAAAATATAAAACGAGCAGAAAACGCTATGAACCACCATCTTCGTCTATACAACAGCTCATTAATTATTTTGAAGGTAAAAAACCTAAAAAAGAGAACGAGGCCATTGATTCACTTTTCTTGGCACATGCACAGACTGTGAAAACACTTCCCTTAAAGCGTCAAGCCCGAATAAAACTAAAAATAGCCGAATTAATAGCGCACGAAGAATTTGAACATATTGAAGAAATGTCTTCAGCGTCTACCCAGAATTCTGCAAGTATGTATGATAGTAGTATGTCGTCCTTCCCAAGCGGCACTGGGTTTACTCCAATAATATACCCAACAGAGGAGGCAAATTCTGCCTCGAATTATTTAGCAACATTTAATCCTAGTGGCAACATGTAGTCCAATTATTACAATAAAATATTTATTTCACGATCCCTGAAGTTTTCGTATTCGATAAGCCTACTAATTTTAATACATATAATTTGTTTACCTGAGTGTAATAGCAAGTCGTTCTTCTGGCGAAATAGCTTCACGATAATTTGTGTCAGATTTTCGTATTTCATCTTTCACCAAGTTCAATATTTCATCGAAACACTCTGGAGTCATTCTAAAATATACGTAAAAGCGCTGTTCATCCAGCCGAAGTTGTGGCATCAAGGTATGGTATTCCCCAAATTTATTTCGTTCCAAGTTAATATCATGTACCCACTTCCTTCGTTTCCTAAACAAAATTGAAAATATTTGTTTTATGTACTTCGTTAAACTTAATACATACCCAACTATCAAATGGCGTTAAATAAACATAACTTACCGTGCATTTTGTTCCTCTTCTAAAGCAAGAAATAGAAGTGCCTCCTCTTCTTCTGAAGGCGAGCTCATTGCAAAAGGCAAAAATAAAATGTACGCAACCTGTCGAAACCTTCACGTTCGCGGAGCGAATAAGACGCTTTGGTATGAAAAAACAGGCGAAACAGATTGCGAATTTCGCTCTGAATTTCGTTGCGAATATTTCGCCGCGATTATTTCGCGCCGGTTTGTGGGATGCTTAAAAATTGGGGTGTCCATTTTATGTGTCCATGTTTTACATACCCCCTGGAACAATTTGCATCAATACAACCAGACAATTATTTCGTAAACCAGATGTATTTTCGTCTAATATGATTATACTAAATGACGAATAGAAAAAGAAGCATCTCAATAACTCACTAATGTAGTGTAATATCAAATGTTGCTAGTAAAATTAGTTCATTATCTTTTCCTAAAATATCCGCTGGTTATCTTAATCTAAATTACCAATTTCTGGGAGGACTCATACTTGTTATCTTCTCTTAAGCAAACAAATTAAAGTAAAACATTGAGATTAAAATCTGGGACATACCAATCAGAAAAGTTTCTCCCAGCGCGCGTCTGCGAAAATTCCAACTCTTGATATAAATCAAGCAAAACGACATTCTGCGGGTCTAATGAAGAACTTTTAACAAGGTCATAATTAGATAGGGATTTGTTCGGAGTAATTCTGCGAAAGGCGAATTGGATGGGCGGCTATGCATGGAACTAGTTGCTCTCAATTAATAATAAAACGACGCTGAATGACAATCAGATACACAGTTCAGTGGAAAGCAGGGAAATATCGGAATGTTCACGCGGTGACAGGAAATCCTTTTTAATTTCCAGCAGAACGCCATCGTGCGAGAATGCCAATTTTAATTTGTATGTGCAGGGTGTCCTAACAGTGCGAGGATAGATTCAAATTCAAATCTTAATTTACTGCTAAATGCACAGTGCGTGTTTGCAGAAAAAAAAGACAATGAGCCATTTATCAGCAATAAAATGAAAAAAATCAACAATAAACATGAAAAATATATGCACAAGATCAATAAACACCTTTACAATCACAAAAATTTTAAAAACACAGAAACAAATTAAAGAGATCTATTGGAATTCTGAAAAGTTAGTGTTGAAAACTCATCAAAGTTGTAGTATGCTTTGTTGATCAGGAAGCAGTTTATTTTCATTTTAAAGGCTCGTCAATAAGGTGCTTGACTTTATTAGGAATTGCTAAGTATAATGCTGTCTTCAAAGTTGAGACTTTACTCGGCATATAGATCTTGGAAAAATAAGTATTATGTCTTTTCTAGTAATATATACACCAAAGTCTTTGCCGAGAAGATAGTTTCCGCAAAATTTGTCAAGCCTAAAGAAAATCTAATCCGGTCCTGCACCTCGATCAGATCAAACTCGCAAAGGGTGAGTTGAGTATATGTAGTTTCTTTTTTTCTGATAAGCGAACACAGAAAGAAGTTTTTATTATATTATTATTTAAATATCTATCTAATAATTATAAGATTAAACGAACTTACCTAAGTGAAGTTTGATCGTAATTATATGACCGTCTCTTCCGAATAGATCACTATGTAGTTCACTCTCGCCGCTAGGTGGCGCCACGCATTCCAAAGCTAAATAAAATAACATCTGACCGGTCCTACCCTCGCGTACCACCGAACGCCGTTGATGATTCATTATTTCAAAGCAGTAACTGTTGCGTTAGAATAGATCACGGGTTCTGGGAGGGAGGGAGTGATCTATTCGGAAGAGACGGTCATATAATTACGATCAAACTTCACTTAGGTAAGTTCGTTTAATCGTATAATTATATTACCCGTCTCTTCCTCTAGATCACTATGTAGATGTTTAAAGTTGATTCTGCAACAGTTACAGGAGAATAAACGAAAGAGGGAAGTAGTAACTACTCTCTTTAATCTCCAACATTCTTATGAGAGACAACCATTCATGTGCGAAAACTTATTCTAACTGTTACAACTGTAAACTATTCACTATAGTCTGAGAATTGCGTCTGCAAAATTGTCAGTATTTTTTACATGTCTGTTATAAAATCTTGCAAACACATTTGATAACGAAGTCCAACCTGCTGTATTGCGTATTGTATCGATGTTGATACCCCTGTTGACAGCTGCTGACGTGGACGCGTGTCTAGTACTATGTGCTGTAAAGATCGATGTGTCAATTACACTTTTGTCCAGCACTATGCGAATCCAACGACTAATGGACTGTGCCGTTGCTTCCTTATAAGGTTTCTTATGAGTCAGAAAAAGTTTCGAGAGCTTACCAGACTGCCTGAAATCTCTGGTTCTGTTCAAATAACATTTGAACGTACTTGCTACATATAGTTTTGGGTTATTGTGAAAAAATGGCAGTATCAGTAAAGGTTGGTATCTATTTGGGGCAGAGGTTTTAACCCTTGCCGGGACTTTTATTTCTATTTTTGATTCCGATATTTCGACATTTGGTCCATCTATAACTGAAAATGTTTGTACTCTGTGTGCCGTAACCAGGGCCATCAACATCGATAATTTATGTGTCAACGCCTCTAGACTAATTGTATTATTAGGGTAACATGTTTCCAGATAACCTAAAACCACAGCCGGATCCCACGTTACATGATATTTAGGCAAAGGTGGTCGTAATTTGAAAACGCCTTTGAAAAATCTTTTGATCTGGTGGTCTTCGCCAACTCGAGGTGAAATAAGCAAGGATAAAGCCGATCTTGTTGAATTCAACGAACTATATGATCGGCCTTGGCCATACAAGCGCGACAAGAAACATAGTATAGCCTGGCTATTTAGTTCAAAACAGTTTATGTTAAGTTGGTGACAGAATTCCCACCATAGTTTCAATCCGTTGGTGTATTGCTTCAGTGACGACTGTGCTAAAGATGAAACTGATATCTCTACTGCCTCCTCAGGGATTCCATTATTTATCATTGCCTGCCTGATAATAGCCCTGCTTCCAGGGAAAGTTTCCGGTGTAGCGCATGGGGTGTTCTGTCAATGGATAACAATAAATTTATGTTAGGAGAGAAAACTATTGATTTCTTTACAAGCAGTGATTTGAATAGAGGGTACCATGGTTGACTGGGCCAACACGGTACTACGACAATACCCTCCGTTTGTCTGTAATTATTTTCTGTAGCACTTTAGCCACTAGGGAAAAAGGCGGGAATGCATAAAATTTGTAAGTAGTCCAGCAAGTTGTAAACGCGTCGACAATTTCGGCTTCAGGGTCTTTGAACCAAGAAGCAAA